TATCTCATGTGAAAAGAAAGGTGGTGGGGTTTTTTGTTGTGATGTTTTTTTTTGTTGGTTGCCATTTAGTCTCTTCAATATATGCTTAGGCTTCAAAGCTATGAAGTTGAGCCAAAGCAGTTACAAAACTTGCATCCCTATTTAGGATTGCTTGATATTGAGACTTGGATGGGCCCTTCRCTTAAGAGCTGGACTTGATGATCCTTTTYGGGTCCCTTTCAACTCAGACTATTCTGGGATATTACTGGATCTGTCTGTGGGTTGTGTGGTTTTTTTTTTTAAGTCTGTACAAACTGCTATTTCAAATTGTATTAAGACATCTTGASAGTTTTGCCAAGTTTTGGGACATCTGATGTAGTGGATGGAATAATATCTCAGATTTCACATTCCAAGRTGCCTCAGTAGTAAAATTGTGCCACCTCAGTTATCAGGAAATCTCAGAAGTTGTTTGGATTGCGCATTTTCTTCTGGAAGGAGAGACAGCTGACAAATAAATGCTCACCAGGCAGAACTAGAGTCAGAATCTTCTCTGCCCAGCAGCATGATGGAAGTGTAACACTGCAAGTATTCAGATCTGGTTTATATTGCAGTTTGTGTGGAACAGAATGTTTCTGATTTTGATTGCTTTATTTTCCTGCTCTCATTTTAGCCATGTATTAATATGCAGAGGTAGTGTGTGCTTRTAGTCTCGCTTTTCCCCATTGGATGTGGCAAATTAATTTCAAATGGTGTGTTAATATTATTGAAACAGAAGCAAAGAAAACACGTAAGTAGCTCAGGAAAAAAAGGATTTTCCTCCAAAGACTTAGATGCTCTTACCAAATAGTTGCACATAAACACAATTCTACTTATTTTTAACTATCAATACCAAAATGAAAAGTGTATCAGGACAAAACACAGGCAAAAAATTTCCACATGGAAGCATTTGTTAATGGGAGAGGTTCTCTGACTATAAAAGGGTATGGTATCCAAGAAGACTGGGGTTAATAGCATCTGATGATTCTGTAAAAAGGGAAAATAATTTTTGCAAACACATTTAGGAAAACTTACGTAAGGAGGAGATATAATAAAAATGAGGAAAATAGCATTCCTCATGCTCTTTGAAGGTGGTAAGAAAGACTTGTTTCTTTATTCTTCCACAGGAGGTTGTTTCTGTGCTGCCTTTGCCCATTCTCTGTCAGTTCAAGGTCATTCACCTCTGTGATAAACAACTGTCTGATAGAATCTGTCAGAGGCTTTTATTGCATACAAAGCTGTTCCATTTGGAATGCTGCTCCCCAGAAGCTGCAGTAAGATATTGCCAGCTTTCCTAGCGTTGCATTTTAATTTTATTTAACGGTGCTTTAATGAAKTGCAATGTCTCTTAGCCCAGTCTGAGGCTTAACTTGAAGGCTGTACAAGCTGATTAGAAACACATCCCYCAATCACTTAAGTGCAGGAGTGACTTTAGGAGCCAAGAGGTATCTGAGGTGTTGAGCAACTCTGTTGTGTTGTCAACTCTGACAATAAAAAGAGGGAAAGTCTGGGCTCTTTTGTGTAGAGTTGTCTTTAGGATCACTTGGGCTCATCTGAATAAGACAGGACATTTCAAGCTACATTAGTTTGCAGGATCATGTTTCATATTAATTGCCATTTTAGAAAAATATGTTGTATGTTGACATCCTCTACTTCTGTGTGGGCTCGTCAGCTTAAATAAAAGCTGATGTAAGTATCGGAAGGAATGTGGACCCCAGATAAAGACAAATGAATTTCCACGTGTGCTCCTTCATGCCAGTTTACACTATCACATATTTTCCAGTATTTGAGCCATTACTCGGAGACCAGYGGACACGGGAAAGAATGGAAGTGTCTGAAGATGAGTTGTTTAATAACTTTATTTTTAAACACTATTACCTCATGTTTTAGTCCTGTCTCTAGTCTCACTGCTAACACTTAGAGATTACTTTGATTTGTGAGAATAATTTGCTGGCTAAACACCCCATGGAAGTTGCCTTAGCTAACAGAATTACATGAATAAAACAATATTCCTTTTTATTTGTGTTGCATGCATAAAGCATTAAAAAAGCCTGTTGTCTGATATACAGGGAGAATGATCTTTGAAAGCACAGGACTGAACACTCGAGCCTCTCTTCTTACAGGTTATCTGGGGATCTAAACTGCCTTCAGCAAAGATGGGATTTCTACCAACAGTAATAGTCTTGCACATCCTTGCAGAAGAAATGGAAGTATTCACATTCTAGTCAGACAGTATAAAAAAGAAATTAATATGAAAATTTAAAACAAAAATTTAAAGCCTTCAGGYTTTAAGGGATGAGCTATAGTGTTCCAGAGCACTGTACTGTCTTTTTCCAGRTTTCTGTTAGACTTTTCTAACCCTGGTGTCACAGTGAGAGAACATAAATCCCTGTCTCTGCAGTATTCTCTTACTGCTTATGRCAGAGCAAACAATGCCCTGTACCAACACATTGAATGCTGGAAATGTCTTCTTCGTGACTGCTCCTTCTTAAATTATTCAGAGCAGCTCTYGTAATTCTTCCTTGAGAATGCCTCACCTACCAAAGTGGTTATTGTTCACAATATTTGTAGTCTTGGGACTTGGGGAACAGGCTAAGCTGTGTTCAGGAGAAGAACAATGAGATTTTTTTTCTATTAATTTAAATTGAATTGCATGTGGGATTAATTAACTCATAGGCTGGAGTAAAAAAGCTGTCCAGTTATTGTACATTTTTGTTTTGTTGAAGGTGATGAAGAGTTGGGGTGATGAGAAAACCTAAAATACTCTAGAACTCTGCCATAAATTCAGAATGACTTTTACCTAGTCTTGTAATTTCATAGATGACTTAATATTTTTTTCCTGTTGTACATGGAAAATCTGATGCTGAAAGTTGAATGGGAGTTTTAATTTTCTCTGCAGCAGGGTTCTGTAAAAATATTCTCTGACCCGAAACATCAAAGAAAGCATGTACCAGATCAGTATTCTCTGATGTTGCCTTTCCTCTTGCCTTCTCTGTTTTCTAAAYATTGACCTTCTTGTTCCCAGAATTTGTGATGGATTTGTAGTGATGCATACCAGAATYACATACTGAAATGACAATGTAACTGACATAAAGAATAACGCAGGAACTTTAATGAAAGCTGTGTCTGGTCTCCACGAATAACCTGTAAAATCTCGGAAATCTGTAGTTTATCAGACTTTTGGCAAACTTGATTGTAATGTCAGTCAAGAACTCAGCCTTGGCTGGAAGCTGGAAGGACAGAGTACGTAGCTACTCACTGACAGACACTTTGAAATTTTTTTTTATTTTATTTTTTTTTTTTAGAGATGGATAGGGATGAACGGCTGAATAACTTCCAGATATGAGTGACAATGGGTTTTGTGGATCTCCTTGAAATAAGAACAAGTTGTATTCGATGTTTATTGTACCGGAAAAAGAATACGTTCCTTTTGTAAAACGTTTCTGAGCGTATCATGAGTTCTGCATGTGAAGCTGTAACCATTCTGCTGTGGCAGTGATCTGGTCTTGGTTCTTCATCCGTGCATCATCTGATTTACTTYTWTTTTWTKKTWWTTWWTTTTATTTTAAACAAGTATTAATAGGTAAGGTTCAAATCCTCAGATTGCCAGGGTCTACAAGTTATCGGTGGCAAGTGTTTCACAAGGACATGACGGCCTCAAAACAGGTCTGTTTACATTCAGTTTGTGTTTTGAGCTTATTGTTACTGATGTAAGCGGCTGTACAAAATACTTTGTAAATGCACGCGGGCTGAAGAAATAAATATTTGCTGTTGATGCTGCGTTCGTGGTGAAAGAATCCCGGACAGCTCCGAAACCCAGCGGAGACCCGGAGGGCAGCAGAGCCGTGAGGTCGCGGTGTATTCCCCAGGGCAAGGTCAAGGGGAGCTGCGGCAGGTGCTGATAAAGCGCTGCGGGATGGAGATCGGAGCCGTGGGACGGAGGATCGGGGACACGGGACAGAGGATGGGGGACGCGGGACGGAGATCGGGGATGCAGGACTGAGATCGGGGACACGGGACGGAGGATCGGGGACGCGGGATGGGGATCGGGGACACGGGACGGAGATCGGAGCTGCGGGATGGAGATCGGGGACACGGGATGGAGATCGGGGACGGGGGACGGAGATCGGGGACGCGGGACGGAGGATCGGGAACGCGGGATGGAGATCGGGGACGCGGGACGGAGATCGGGGAAGGGGGACGGAGATCGGGGACGCGGGACGGAGATCGGGGACACGGGACGGAGATCGGGGACGCGGGACGGAGGATCGGGACGAGGGACGGAGGATGGGGGACACGGGACGGAGATCGGGGACGCGGGACGGAGATCGGGGACGCGGGATGGAGATCGGGGATGCGGGACGGAGGATGGGGAACACGGGACGGAGATCGGGGACACGGGACGGAGATCGGGGACGCGGGACGGAGGATCGGGGACGGGGGACGGAGATCGGGGACACGGGACGGGGATCGGGGACACGGGACGGAGGATCGGGGACGGGGGACGGAGATCGGGGACGCGGGATGGAGATCGGGGACAGGGGACGGGGATCGGGGACGCGGAACGGAGATCGGGGACGCGGGGCAGAGGATGGGGAACGCGGGACGGGGATCGGGGACGCGGGATGGAGGATCGGGGACAGGGGACGGAGATCGGGGACACGGGACGG